AATATCATTAATAATCATTGACAGCTCATATTAACAAATGATTGATATGTTTTACATATTTAGTAACTAATTTATCTTATGATACTGTTCAATAAAGTATTCATACCACCACTGCAAATAGATATACTGCATGTCTGCTTATTAGAGTGTGCATGGCAATGACATTAATGGATTCCTGCCCAAAGTTGTCCACAGAGTATTACTACCAACCCTGTTAATTATAAATTCTTTGCATTCCCTGTAATCCTTTTTCAGACCGCAGGAAACCAAACACACATGCTGGCAACATTCTCATTTATACACAGCCACAGGTTCCCTTACTGTATTTTCACTTTGTCTGCCTTTCTTTCTCACTCTGGCAGACGCACGTACTCATTCCCCTTGATATTCCCACTGACATACGTCATTATATAATCATTATATACAGAGAAATGTTTGTCTGGTATGCCTTTAAGCTCTCTTGTTTTCCATGGGCCTCTAGTTTTTAACCTCATAAACTACTCTCCGGACCACAAATGCAAATCACTCTTGCTACACTATATGCAGAGAAGGAGACAGAAGCTATGTTCACCACACTGTGCACTCAATGCCTTCTACAAGAAGAAAAGAGAAGAGAGGAGGAGAGAAGAGAAGCATGAATTCGCCCATAGGTTTTGGGTTCCTGTATCATTCTCTATGTGTGTATGCATGACAACCGTACAAAGATCACATAATATTTGTGGAAGTTAGATAAGTCCATCAGGACTTGGTCTCTATTTCTGGTTTATGTTTATCTAGGGACCGGCTGTTATGCTTAGGACCAGGCCCAGGTCCAATAACTCAGGATTATCTGCTAAACAACCTTCTGTACTGTTTGTCTCCTCAAGTACTCAAGCCAGTGTTCACTTGACGTATATTGTAAAAACACTTTGTGACAAACTCTCTTTAAATATATAAAGTTTTTCTTTCGCTGCAGTTAACAACGTTTGTGACTGTATGAAGAACCATTCCTTAAAAATAATCCTATTCCTGCAACTACAACCCTCGCAAAAACAATAAAAACTAAAATGTGAGTGAGCAATGAAACAAAAGAAATGACCTGAAACACAAAGAATAAAGAGAAAAGGAAGTAATACAAAAGGGAAAATGAGAGCTAATGGGATAAAGCCACAAATTAAAGTAACAGAAAAGCCTATAATGTCTCCTCTCAAATCCCACAAACATGACTTCATCAGTCTCTCTTTCCATCCATCTCTCACAGTTGTGTTTTTTCCTCTGCTACCATGGTAAGTCTGCCTCACGCCAGAACAGGAAACCAGTGTGAGGGCTGCGGCAACTGTGGCGGCCTGAGGGGATGTGGCATCATGCGGCCTCACCTCCTCCATAGTGTAGCAGCTAAACACCATATAATGATTTGAAATGAATGTAGATGGGAATTATTCATATAATGGTGAGAAAAGTTGTATCCCCCAGTATAAGTTTGATAGAAGTTGGGGTTGAGGACGATTTGCTATCTTTGCATATCTTATTTTGTGAAGCACCACGTATCTCTGGTTTTGAGTGGTGCCGTTAAAATAAATTTTAAAATTATCCATTTACTACGTTATTATAGCTAAAGCTTAGCATCTTAGTTCAGTACAGCCCAGCAGTGTTAATGTTGTTTGAGTTCTCTGGTTGAAGGTGAAGCTGATGTATTTTACTTTGACTCCTCTACACAGAAAACTGCAGCTCTGCGTAACCTGCCAGGTTTTTCTTATCACACAAAGAATTTTCACAAAGTGCTGCCAAGAGCCTTCATGCTTCTGATTATGCTGACAAACTTCTTAATTACATTTCTGCTGACCGAGGGCTGAACTGTGCTATAGTGCATTGTTACATGGACGTGGTTAGTTCCTGGCTTTATAAACTGCCGGGCCTCTGTGCTCAGACAGGATAGTGTAGATAATGTTATCTGCTGCTACTTTGAAACCCAGCTGCCCACTGGGTCTTCCCTTCTGCCACTGCTGGCCTGCTTTTACTGCAACCATATTAAATGAGAAATGTCACCACCGGCTTTTAGACTTTGCAGTGGTTCTCTGTTAATAAAATGCCCATTAACATGCAGAAAATGAAAGACTAAATGGACTTAAATGTCCTCTGTGGAAATAGAGTAGTCTCTAGTCTCTCTATCAGCATCTGTACCTCATCCAGGTGTCCCTTCATGCTCCCAAAGCCCATATATGGCAGTGGATCATTTGCTTGTGCAAACAAAAGTTCAGTGACGTAGATGCTGAACTGTCTGACTCGCAGCTCTCTGCTTCTCCTCTCCTCGATACACCCGGAAAACCCATTAAAACCCCAAATAACATCTGTATCACATTATTGAGTTTCTGTCATCGTATAGGTAATTGTGAAAAGCCAAATAAAAAGCAGACAGTTAGAGGTTCAACCAGATTATCAAAGTTTTACTGAGATGTTTATCATTAGATCGTGAACAGGTGAATATACCTGATCTATGTAATGTAGCTAACAGTGTTCTGCATCCACACAGAGCTGATTATCATGTCATCCACAGAAACTCAAACTTGCATATGTTAAACAACCTTTGGTATTAACAGTGTACTGTAACCATCAGTTAAACTCATGGTCATGCAGTATCATTTGCATAAAGAGAACTTTATCAACCCTTACCTTGAGACATTATTTTACATATACAATAGAAATACATATAGAAATACAACGTGCCATTGCTATTTTATATTTAAAAATATATTCCTGTGGAATGGAGACAAATAAGCATTGTATTTTTTTTAAATAAGAAAAAGTAGTGACTGACCAATCTATAAGGTGATGGCCACAACTGAATGTGCCAAAGACACACCAGGAGTTTGATCCTTAAAGTGAAATAAAAGAGAAGTATACTCACTGTGTGAAGGAATAGGTCACTTCTCTGCTGGCCACAAGTGCAGTTTATGGGTGAGTGTGGGGTGTTTGACTGAGTGTTTGTATATGCATCCCAGGCACCTCCCTCTCGAAAATGCCGGCTTAAAAGGAGCAGATGAGGCAAAATGACTTCACTACAGTCTACTGAACCAGACTCCCAGGGAGGGAGGAGGGAGTGTGAAGGAGGAGCAGGGGGAGAGAGGGGAAGGGAAAAAAAGGAAACTTCATCCTTAAAAAGGCATGGCCTTTCAGCAGCTCCCTCAGCCTGTCTCTTCCCCTCACGTCGCGTTAAAAAAGCCCAGCCTTATTTGGGTAGAGCCGTTCCATGCAGACGAGGGAGGCGGCCGCCAGGTTTGGTCAGCGGGAATTCTACACATATTTTCACCACATCCCTAACTCATTCAAAGTGGCTTTACGAAATGAGGTGACGGAGTGGATAGGGCCTGGAGGAAATCAGGGTAGGGTGATGATGAAAAGAGGAGAGGAGAGGACAGGAGAGGAGAAAAGAGGAGGAAGAGAGGAGAGGAGGAGGAGAGAAGAGAGGAGAGAGGCAGAGAAATTAGGAGGAGTAACAAAGTCATCATTATTCAGACAGAGAATTCCATGTAAGTCCTGGATGGTCTTCAATAACTGCCCCGAGTGTGTGTGTGTGTGTGTGTGTGATGTTGTCATGTTAAGGTTGAGGTTTAAGTGTAGGTTAAGTCTAAAAGGAAATCAGTCAATGTGCGTGTGTGTGTGCGTGTGTGTGTGTGTGTGTGTGTGTGTGTGTGTGTGTGTGTGTGTGTGACATTTCCATCACACCCAAGCTAATACTGACGTGTCCTGTGGTGAGGGTAATGCTCCTGTTTGATGTATGTGGGGTTTAACGTACAGGTATAAAAGCAGTTTTCTACCTAAGTGGTGAGTTGGAGGGTTCAAGCACATCATCAGATTAAACCACCAACAAACCTCCTCCTGAGAACAATCTGGTCAACAAACATCGATCAACAACCTTCTTTGACATTTATCTTTCTCTTTCTAGCTATAACATGAGGAGAGCCAGATGTTCACCTTCACGTACATTTATGTGATGTATTTCCGTAGTTGACTCGGTTTCCTCAACATATATTTCTCACATTATTATATTATTTCAACATTTCAGGTGTGTTTGTTTTATTTTTTCATTCTTCCTGTGAGCAAGTGATGATTAACTTGAAATGAAAACATATTTTTTTTCGGGACATACCATTCTGTTTGGACAGGAAACTTTATTATAACTGTCAGTTCACAGCCTACAGTACATTATACAGAACATTTTGTGCGTATTATCTGTAATAAATAAAGTTGTTTTTTGTGAAGTTGGATTTTCTCTGCACCGTGGTTCTCCTTCCCTAACTCCTTATGGCTTATCCTTCACATCTTTCCTTGGCCCTGTGTCATATTCCATCGGGGTCGAGGAACAGTGGTTAGTAAAGGAGGTTATTTGGACTTTCCGAACACACTTTCTGTATCTGGGATATTTTGTCTTCATTTCTGGATAGTGGGAGGAAGTTGAGACCCATTTTCCATCTTTACGCATTAAGCATCTTCTCTTCTATCTGCCATGTTGGAAAATTGTTGTGTATTTTCCAGAATGTCCCACTATTCCTTTAAAGTAACAACAAGGACCCAAATAGTAGCTTCCTTCTGGAATGACTGGTATGTCTAAACTCCGTGTGTGTGTGTGTGTGTGTGTGTGTGTGTGTGTGTGTGTGTGTGTCTGTGCCTGTTTGCTCATGTGTGTGTAAGCTTCTACATCATGTGTTTATTTAACTGAAGGAATTCACTGAGTTTGGCAGTGGTTTATATTCATCTGTACTGAGCTTCCATGAAAGGCATTTATTTACAGTGTTATACAATACTGTCATAGGCCAACCATCAGCAGCAGCAGCACTGTTATGATTCCCAAAACCTCTGACTGCTACTTGTTTCCATTCATGAACAACATGTGTGTGTATGTGTATGTGTATGTGTATGTGTGTGTGTGTGTGTGTGTGTGTGTGTGTGTGTGTGTCTGTCAAATAATCTTTCATTGTGTCCAAATTAAAACAATTTCTCATTTGTTGTATACACAGAACATCTTCGGAGTTGTAGTTCTTTATTCACAAGCACATATTTTTTAAAGTTGCAAACATTTCCAATCGTGTGACTTTGATGTTTCTGCTTTTCTAATGCACTGCAAAAAATATATACGTTCCTTTCTTTGCATTTGATCATAAATGCATGATTCTACTTTATGTATGTACGACTCAGCCTGTGTTTAATTACTGCAGTGGATAGGGGGCTTGGGGTTCAACCTGTGACCACTGGGATTGTTCATCTCAGTTTAGCAAGTATAAAAGGGTTTGTTTAAGGTCCTGGAGTGATGAAGGTTCAGAAACCTGGATCTCCAACTGGTTTATTACGCACTGTTGAGAGGGTATAACATGTAACCAGTAAAGCTGTTGTACCCCTGGTTTGCACAGAGCTTCCTCCCGGACGTTAACGCCAGGTAGACCTGATCGCCTTTCTTCAACTGCAGCACCACAACCTAAGAACGTACATAGTGAACAGTGGCATGTTTACAGAATCATGTAAAGTCACAGGAAAATCACTATGTCACTATATTTCACCATATTAACTTGTACTGTCAGTTACACATTTGCAGCTTCACTTCTTACCTGACTTGCACTGTCTTCACCATCCTCTCGATTGTCCTCCCACACACTGACTATTACACCGTTGTTCTGAAGCAGCTGGACCTACACATAGAAGAAGACAAAAACAAAATGAAGATGTAGAATGTTTTCTAAATTCAGAGATTTGCAAAGTGTCTCTGGTTTGTTTACTTTGTGATAGAGGCGTCCGTCCTCTCCCACAGACGAGTAGATTGTGAAGGAAAAGGCGTAAACACCAGCACATGGGGCGGTGAAGGCACCTGGAGAGAAAGGTGAGGGGTTACTGGAAGAGCTTCTCATTTGAAAAGATGCATACATTTTTTAATTTCAGTTCACTCCTGGCATGTGCTTCCTACCCAAGGATGGGTTATATCCCATGCCATCATTCAGAGTGACAGAATCAAAGGGGATCGGCACATTAGTGTTGAAAGGACCAAAGCATCTGTCCGTATATCCAGGCATTGGGAGGGTGATATTTAGAAATGCTTTGAAGGCAATCTTGAGGTTGCCTGTGAATAATAGAGAGGAAGAGATTAATTGCACAACAAAGCTTAGTGTCCACATTTTTTTGAATTTGGAAATATCCATCACTGTGCGTGTGTTCACCTGTGACTGACTTTACTTTGCTATTTAGTGTGGCGAGATCTTCCCACAAATTCATAATCCTTATGAAGGTTTTGTCCTCTAGTTGGTATAAGTCATTCGCTCCACAGCAGCAGCCACGCTCCTGTTTGAAAATGCAGTCGCAGTCCCAGTTGCCACACTCCAGCTTTCCCTGATAGCTGACTGGGATATGATAGAGGAACGGTGACATGGGAAATCGCAGACAAACATGCTTGCACTGTCAATTAAAGTTCATTCGGAGACAGAAGGATATACATCGTGAACATGAAATGCGTGCACATTTTCTGTGTGAACACATTATATCAAGCAGTTTGTGTTGCTTACGTGCGGCCTGTCTCAAAGAGTCGATCGTGGAGGAGTCAGTTTCCCCACGACCACAGAGAATCAGTGACCCCAACAGGAACAAAACTGGAAATACAACCATCTGCAAAAACAGTTGTAATCAGTAATGGATCAGTCACAGAGTAACACACAGAGAGGCTGAAGGACAAAACCACATTTGAGTTGCAAACAAACTCACACTTTAAAACTTGAGCCAGTTTTGACCCACAAATCACTAAACCAGAGCCCAGCTCATTTGCTGTCTCATGCTCTAAATATGGTTTGATATATATATATATATATATATATATATATATATATATATATTACAATATAGTATATCATGCAAGGACATAAAACTTACTGTTTTTGTTCCTTCCTTTCCTTGTTCTCAAAGACTCTTTCAGCTTCTTGTGAGTTTGGGAAATGGAAAGTTTTGAAGCAGAGGATGTTTTTTATTTAGCGTCTTATTCATGCGCTACAGGTGATCCTCCTCCCCTTTGAGGAGGTAAATGACAGGAGCTCCGCCTCATACGCACGCACGCACACACACACACACACACACACACAAACATACAGGTGGGGGACACTCATTGACGTAATGAATTCCCATGGCCCTTACTGAAACTGTATCCATCAAATCTGAATGCCTAAAACAAACCACACCCCTGAACGCACCCTCATTCTAACCCTGACCAAAAAAAGACCTACCCATGAGGTAGGTTTTCACAGCCAAACAATCCCACTCTACTTCTCTTCACCAATAGAGGGAAGTGCATCCCTGGAACAGTCCATGATTTTCCTTTAGTGTGAAAGTCGCACGTCTCAGTTGTTGGGACCATAATACCTGTAATTAGGACAGAGGTGTCTGGTTGTCATTCAGTCCGGAGGACACCGGCAGCTCACGAATACTGATATGGTGAACATTGTTGTCAGTTCCCTGAGGATTCAATGGCCTACAGATGAGAATACAAAATAAACTGATAGGAAAGTGCTATAAGTGCATCGATAAAGGCCTGGATCGGACACCGCTATAAAACATTGCCTGGTTCTCATGCTGAGACAGAAGGAACAAAGAAGTGATACTGAGCTGAGGCTGACGCTCACCCCACTTTCATGTGAATGAAATGATCTTGTTTTGCGGTCTAATATAATAAATTCTTAGATCAACAGGTGTCTCCAGAAGAATGAAGTACAGCCATCTGCAGGATGCTGTCAGATTAATCAGAATCCGTTGTTATGCTTGTACACCTATAAGGAAACGTTGTATAATAGAAACAGAACTATTGTGAGGTAATGCAAAAGTATTGTAACATAACTCATAAGTATGGCAAGGAAACACAACAGTATTGTTTGGTTATGCAAAAGTATTGTGAGAGAAAGCAAAACATATTATGAGGTGACGCAACAGTAATTATCAAGAAAAAATTCTCACTATGACCCAACTGGAGGGATTTTCATGAAATGTGTTACAGGCATTAATGGTTGAATTGCCACAATATTTTGTGATGAAGCAAAAGCACTAGTAAATGATTGTAGTAAAGTCTTCTTATGCGTGTTGATCTACATATTTTCAAAGCAAAATGTCAGTCAGCTCTGCGTGCCACTGCTCATGCTGTCATTCATCTCTGTGAGATGTTTTTAACCAGAGCTTGTTTTTCCTCTAGTCCTATTAGATAACAAGGTGTCTCCTTTGTTGACAGCTATACTTTTTAAAGCGGTCATGGTCTCCTGGGACTATGCTTTGTGTCCCAAGTCACCTGACCTAGTTCTTCACAGTGTTATCTTCTAGATGGAGGCCATGATGTATCAGGTGTTTTATGTCTGCATTGCACACAAGTATCAAGTTGCAAAATAACATCCAGGGATTTTTTTGAGCAGCTGAAAAAGGACCCGGGACTCCTGAAAATTGGGCAAAAAAAAAAGAGGACACTTTATGGCAGTAGATCTTTGGAAAATAATGTCAAAACAGAAAATTGCAGGAGACTGTTTTAAAAATAATGTCATAAGTTACATCTGTGTTTCATTAATCAAAATATCAGCTGTGAAAAAGGCTTTAGTTCCCACTTTCCCCTGTACCCTAACTGCAGTAATGTAATGTGTTACCACTGGCTGGTGTTGTTTGTCACTGCTACTCTTGTTTTCACAATCATGAGAAACCTCTTTTTCAGCTGCCATTTAAGGTGACAGCATTGTCTTCAGGCTCAGCCTCTTTTCTTTTACTGACTGAGTCAGGAGGGATTTGCGTTCCACCTCTTGCCTCCTCTCTTCTGTGAATTTAAGCTGTTTATCATTTTATCTTGGGTTCTTTACTCAGCAGTTTCCATGTTTGCCTTAAAATAAAGTTCAGCATCTATATGTTTGGCTACAGTTAACAGAAATTCAGGCTGTGTAGGATTTTGCGAACGAATGAATGAATGTAAAGGGAGTGAGGATGGATGAAGAATGCCTCTGTCAGGTTGGTCTGGGAGGATATGCCATCTCAGGCACATTTACGCCCAAGCTGATGTCAGGCCTCCTCAAGACCTACAGAGAGACATGAGAGAAATTTGCACCAGACTGAGTTGGAAGGGATGAGGCACACAGAACGATTTGCCAGCATTTTTTGTGCAAATGCCAAAAGAAGTCAGACGCCTCTGAAGCGAACATCAGTGTGATAAGAACTACCTAAAATGGCAGAAAGCATCTTTGAGAAACATTCATTTGACATGAACTTTGACTGTTTCATTTCGTCCCATCCACTAATATGGAGGAGGCAGGGTCTATGACCGATACTGCAGCCAGCCACCAGGAGGTGATCAAAACACTTCGGCTTCACTTTTGGGGAGCTGTCATGTCGTCAATTTCTAAGTACGATCTATGGTCCTTGACAATGAGGTCAGCCGTTTTCTTTTTTATAATTACCCTTTTGAATAATATCGAAATATCTTTTTTATTCCTTGTCGAGACTTGAAGGCTGCATTTGACACACTGCAACTTGACCGCCAAGTTTGTTTTGGCCAGTAGCAGCTGATAAAGCCTCAAGCCTTTAGCATCAAACTGACATTAGGTGGGGGCTGTGGTGGTCTGGAAAGCTATTGTATGTTTTCTTTTTTAATTTGCAGAGTTGTAGTCTTCAGACCCAACCAGCACTGAGTCAAGCTGCTTCAGAGAGTTTCTCAGACTTTGTCCAGCTCCAGAAACGAACAAAAACTATTATATTTTTTCCACATATGCAGTAGTACTCACCAACACCTGTTTACATTGATCAATCACTCGCATTAAATGCACTCCAGAAGGTTAAATTAATTATACTATCTCCTATAGCTGCACTGTTGTTCCACAAAAATACACTATATCAGTGCATCCAGTGTAATGTTTGGATTTAATGTCATATTTTTGAATGAACTTCTGCTAAAGTGAAAACTGTACTATCCCAACAAAATGCATTCATGATGTTAAATAAAAATCATATATATGCTGAACCTCTTTCTATATACTACAGATTATGTACACTCCAGTGATTTTTAACGTGGTGAACATGTGGCATAAAGACCTTAAAATTACTTACTAACTTTCCTTTCTTTAAATGTGAATTATTACTCCACAATATAAAGACTTGTCGGTTTTCTCTATGTTCATGGATGTTTGTTTCACTGAGAATGAAAACTGGACATAATGAGGAACGGCCAAACACATCGACCTCCCTGGTGGAGAATTGACTCTACTTCTTATTGCACTTGATAAGAGGAAATCAAAAAAGTCAAACTAGCTTTCTGTGTCACTAAATGCTTTTGTTTAATGTTTAATGTTGGTAAATGTGTTTACACACACATTCATACAGTGCATCTATTAGCAGCACTTTTTTGTTCTATGAGGGGCAATTCGGGGTTCAGCATCTTTCCCAAGGACACTTTGGCATGCAGATGGGGAAGACTGGGGATCAAACTGCCGACCGTCCCCTTAGCCACAGCCGCCCCTACAATATGCTTTGTTTGCCTTGTGTTTTAATCTTTAACTTTTCTTTTCTTTAACTGGCAGGTTAAATGATCTAAATTGAATTGTCATATGTTCTGTAAGGAAAAGTTCATACCCAGGGTAAACTATAAAACAAATAAAATGCTTTGCTAATGAAAATTTCATACAAAAAGCAGAGAATTTCCATCCAAAATCATAGAAATATATTAAAAACAGACGGCAATGTTGAGGCAATGTTTCAAAACTTTAATTCAATTCAATGTAGACATCAAAACCACTAATAACACCTGCATGAAAAACATTAGCCTTTCCACAACAACAGATACTCATTCCTAGCGATTTATAAGCTTTCAAATCACATGCACTGAATCCAGATGTGATGGATAGTTAAGACCTGGCGTCAATCAAAAAGAACAGACTGAGATGAGATGAGGGCACCACAGAATTTAGACTCTAACCTTGTCTCTAACTTAATCAGTAGCAAACAGCAGAAAGCCACTGAAAGTGTTATAGTGGTTGTTGTCATCACAGAGGGAACAGCCTTTGGGCATGTTGACGGCCACCTTGTCTGCAGCTTTCAGTTGCAGGACAACAACATTAGTGGCTCCATCCTCTTGGTCTTCTTTATTTTCCTCACTCAATCTGGCCACCACCGTGTTGTTAACGTACAGTTCGGCACAGGCGGCGAGGGGAGAATCAGCGGCACCAGCGTCACTGTGGATGGTAAAAGCAAAGGTGTAGACACCAGAGTGGAGAGCAGTGAAGATGCCAGTGTTCACGTTGTAGCCACTGCCCAGGTTCAGGAAGACATGGTTGTAGATGACATTGATGTCTGCAGGCTTGGGGCCATGGCACTTAAAAGTCGAAAAGTCAAGAGCGACAGAGAAGGCAGTGCGGCTGGCTGCAGATGCAGAAGAGGAAAAACAAAAAGTGGATGAGTGTTATGTCATTATTACTGAGAAACGTCCAAGGTGTTTGTGCATGGGTTTGTGTCTGTCCTGCTTTGTGTAGTGCACATTACCAACCTTCAAACTTGCTGAACTGTTGCAGTGTTTGTGAGTACTCCTTGTCCAGCTCATTCAAGGTCGAGTTGAAGTGCGTGCTCAGGCTGTTCACTTGCTGCAGGATGAGACAGCAGCTACAAGAATGCGGCTCCTCACACGCTGAGCAAAAACACATGTAAATACACTTGCAGAGAAGAACATATATAGACAAGTTGATTATGTACCAACAATTCCTCACCGTTTTCTGGGTTGTCTGCTTCGTTGAGTGAATCGAGGGATGACCACAAAGACGGCCACTGAGCAGAAGCTGCATGCAGCAGACACAGAAATACAATAGCTGGGGGGGGGGGGGGGGGGGTAGGAGTAAGGGCAAGAAGCACCAAAAAGATGTTTGCATTAGATTCCTGTTTCTGTTTTGTTGTATATGTGAACCATTGCTGCCCCTCTAAATGTATCTAGTCTCACCTCTCATGATGATGGTCTCTGAAGGATGGACGGTGTGATAGACTGGATCAAGGGAGGAAGTGCCATGGATATTTATTTATCTTAGAGCTCCTCCCTCGTTACCGCTCAGATTTATCCCTCTTCTTATTACATCGCTCCACCTTGTTTTTTGTAATAAATTGCCTTGTGTCAGTGTATCATGGGGGATATACAGTATACACACCAACACACACACACACACACACACACACCGTATTCTCACTATCCAACAAGGATTGAGTTTAAAGCTCCGTTGCAGTTTATAGCTTTTACATTCAGAGCTAATATGTTTTCTACACAGATATAGGACAAAAACCTTGATTTGATAAAAATGTATCCATTTTGTTTGATACATTGGTTACACGCATCATCCTGTTGTTGTGTTAAATAATAGATTATATTCAAAGTGGTTGCAGAAAAGGAGGAAATCATATAAATGCACATTATGTCACATCTTTACCCTGACAAGATCTTCTTCACTTCATTTTACACGTGTCCTGAGGTAAGTACAGACTGAGAGATATTTTTCAAAAAGTATATTCAAAATAATCTGTATTTCTATATCGCTTATACATGTTGCTCTAGTCTTGATGACCACTCAAAGCTCTTTACAATACAGTTTTGTCATCTACCCATTCACACATACATTCATACAGTGCAGAACTTTCTCTAACATACAACACCCTGCACAGCCGTCAGAGACAATTCAGGCTTCAGTATCTTGTCCAATGACACTCACACAGCACCTCCAATTCAACATCTCCTCTATAGTTTTTAGTTTAGTCTAGATAGATTACTTTATTCATCCCCAAAGGGAAATTAGGTTTAGATCAGTTTCTTTCACACAACATAGATACAAAATATATAAATAAAATGTTTGACTTATGTTTGTAGTGTGGTACACATCACTAATGGCTGGAAATCACACCCAAATAAAATGCCAAACATACAAAAACTTTAGTTATATATTTGAGAACATTTGACATATTTTGGAGAAACTGTTTTATTCTCTTTTTGCACATGAACAATGACACAGGGATCCAGCCAATGTGTTGACTCCACACATTAGATACTTAGAGAAAACTGATGAGGAAAAAAAGATCAACTTCAACCAGGACCCCCTGTCCCTGCTCCTCCATGCCCTCCTCTTGTGTAGCAGAGGAGGGCATAGCTCCTCCACCCCCCTTCTGGAACTCTCTCCCCCAAGACCTACGTATTTAAGTATGTGACAGTATTTTTGTATAAATTAAAAGTTTATTATTATTATTATTGTTGTTATTTCTATGTGGCTGAGAAAAGATTTAACTCAAACAGTAGTTATTGTTTCGTATGTATTTATTTAATTTAAATTCTTTCACATGATGGACATGATTCACAACACCAACTTTTTTCTTCAAAAGAATGGTTTATTTGTTATGGTACGATTCGGACACAGATTTTTCTTAAATTCATAATTCTATCACATCGTACGTGACACTGTTTCAGTAAATGAAAGATCAGCAGATGTTACAAACGTGACAATGACATGAAAAGGTTTTATCACCTTTTCCTTGTTGAATGCAGATAAAATGGATTAAAAACATGGTGTCTCTCAAAAGGTGATAATGGACGTGTTCTCTGGACAATAAAAACAATGATAGCTTGAGGTTACAATTGTTTAGACTACATGAAATCAGACAGAGATTATTGGATACATGACTGTTACCATGAAAGTTTTCACCGAGCAGATGTAAACCTTATGAGGGCACGAGGCCGGAGCAGCTCCACATTGCAGACTCAGTTAGCATAGAGCAGGAAGCCGGTGAAGGTGTTATAGTGCTCGCCTTGGATTTCATTGCAGACCACACATCCATTGGGCAGGAGAACAGCCACCTCATCCCCAGCCTTCAGTTTCAAGGCTACAACAATGGTGCTGCTGTCTTGAGGGTCGTGGCCATTTTTCTCGCTGAGTACAGCCGCCACCACCTGGCCATTAACCTGCAGACGAGCGCAGCTGGCCACGTTTGTTGCACCAGAAGTAGCATTGGCATGGATGGTCACGGTGAGGCAGTAGACGCCAGACTGAGGAACGGTGAAGATACCGTTTTGCACGTTGTAGCTGTCTCCCAGGTTGAGGAGGACATTGCCATAGATGATGAGCTGGTCATTAACGGCGGGGACAGAGCACAACATATTATTGGTCAGTGAGACGGAGAAGGCGCTGCGACCTGATGGAAACACACAGAAGATGAAATAGTCAGGTAAGAGGTTAAAAACATGGATCAGTTCTTCGAGGATTGTCTGCTGGTTTTGTGTGACTCATGTCTGTGTAGCTCACCTCTTGTAAGGCTGAGGGCCGTCTTTGATTGTATCAGGTACTTGTTCATTTCCCCAGCGACATGTTCAAAGTTTCTCTTCACCCTGTTCATCTGTTTCTGAATCAGGCAGCAGCCACATGATGCCGAAAGACACTCTGGGTGCAAGCACGCACACACACAAACACATACAGTCATACATTAGGTTGCAGACAAAAGTATATATTAACAAAAAGTGCAGATTTCCTGTACAATCTCTCACCGGTGCTGATCGGGTCTGAGTCGGAGGTCGACCAGGTGTAATTTGGTGGGTCACCAAAAACCTCCAGCAGCAGACAAAAAAATACAATAGCTGGGGGGAAAAGAGCAAAAGCTTTTATCAATGAAGGCATTAAACGTTCGGTGTTTTCTCTTTCTTTGGAGTGAAAACAAGTGTACGCCTCAATAAAGACCATCAGAAATTAAACATGCAATTCCTCCCATGTTCCATAATTGTTTTAAATCTTACTTTTGGTTTATTCAATTATTGATGATTTTTTTCTGGAAATCTTTAACGTTATATTAATATTTAACCACATAATAAAGATTTTGACATTAAAATCCCTAATAAGCAACTTTCACTCAGGTTACTTCTATTCTGAACTACGTCTTTGATTGTCTCACTGGTATCCAAGGTCCAACTTTACCCCCTCCCTAAATAGTATGCCTCTGTAGTTGCAACTTGTTTCCGTTCTCACCTCTCATGTTGATGCTGGTAAACGATAACAGCTTCACAAGGATGGAAAGTGCGTAGACTGATCACAAGACAAGAACCGTGATTATATATTTTACTAGGAGCCCCTCCCTTGAAGACTTTATTCCTCCTCTTTTGACATTGCTCCTCCTGATTTTTATTTATCGCCTGCCCCATTTGCCTTTATAACTTTATAACTGGAAATGTTTTCATCACAAGGGGCTCTCATTTTCTAAATTTCACTCTCAAGCAGACACACCCTCCTGGCTTTGTTGTTGATGCCACCCAGGTATCATCTATCACCTGAGATGAGGTGTGGAGTTCAGTGCTCTCATCAGCAGCCCAGTATTACAGTTCACAGAGCTACATTTTGTATTTTTTTGCCATGCACAGTTTCTGATCCACAGGTGTTTCTGATAGTACTCTTTCCTTGGAATAAAAAGAAGAAAATACAGTAACTCCTTGTTCTAAGCCTCATGTATAAGGCCTTACAGCGTGACATACTTGTTAGTGTCTCATTCATTAGTATTAAATTAATTAATGCAGCCATGCTAGCAGCTCTGTGTGTGGCTCCAACATGCTAAAAGGGATTGGAGAGCTCCCCACCTTCATAATGACAGGTGCGGGGAATCACTGCCTCTTTGTCTGATGCCTGGTAGGTGTTGACTGCTGTGTTTGTGCAGTTAGGCTGCTGTGCCTCGACCAAGATCTCTGTGACCCCATGTTTGAGAGAATATTCAGGGTTTGTCTCTCCCCTGTTTGAGCCACAGTGCAGAATCAGCCATCCATTGTCGCTGCAAAGTAGGGCCTCATAATGGGCAAGATCAAGTTGCCAGACAACACTGGTTTAGGCAAAGCAGCAGTCTGGGATACACCCCCATTTGCATGCAGTGTGGTAGGCCTGAAGGGTGGTGGTCACTTGAACAGTGTGTTGTGGTTTGTCCTTGCAGTGTGAGTTGCAGTGGTAGTGATTACTGTGTGCTCACGTGGTGATGTCTACTGGGGTTTGCGATAGAATCTCCCTGTGATAAGTACGCTGCCTACATAATAGTATGTGCTATTTCTCTGTCCTCATACGACCCACAGCCATGGCCGTAGCCAGCTATGAGGCCACTGAGGTCCGGACCTCGCTAATTATTTACCGAACAAGACCTCAAAGCCTATATGGCTGGATCATGTATGAAACGCAAGAGGGCTTTTAAATTGAAACAATGGCTTTTAATTTGACATGGATACAGGAAGTCGCGGTACCGTCTCTCTGCATCTGATTGACATGAAATGAAATAGCTTGACACTGACAGCTATCCTACTGTGAGAGGTGAGTAGAAGGTAAAAGGTAAATTGAAAGAAATGAGTGGGATAAAGTTATTGCTAAGAAGCTTTCATTCACAACATTCATGGAACCACCTTCCAAGTCTCTATGACCTTCAGAAAAAAGGTTATTGAAGAATATGTTGTTCTCCAATAGGTTTTCATCACTATTTAATCACTTCACAATTTCTGAAGGTCGTAGAAGCTCAGGGATGGTACCAATGGATTGGGCATAGCCACATTAGTTGAGCTGGAACCAGCTTCCAAGTCTCTATGACCTTCAGAAATTTTTTTATTGAAGAATATCTTGTTCTCCAATAGGTTTTCATTTCTAACCCTAACCCTAATCACAACCCTAACCCTAACCCTAATCACAACCCTAACCCTAACCCTAATTGCAACCCTAACCCATATTCACCTTAGGGTGAATAACTCAGAGCTGCTTGCTCCAAACGTGCTGAAATTTGGTGTGGCTGCGTGGCACTCTACACTTTATTATTCATGAAATGCACAAGTCTCTA